CTCGCCTAGGAAGAGGGCCAAGTCAGCTCGGCTGCACAAGGCCAAGGCCTTGGCCCCACCAAGGCCACACGAAACAACTCGGAAACCATAAATTAGGGATCTTGAAGTCAGCAAACAACATCATCATTGTCATTCAGTAGAACCAGAGAGGAAGATATCGTTTACAGGTAATAAGAGAACAACGACATTCCTAATAAGAAGCCGTTCTAAACTGAAAATTACAGAAATAAAGTACTACAAAGATCCTCATTGAATCACCAAAAATGAAAAGAGAGAAGCAACCACGGGTCCACCTTAGGTAGCCGTCTTACCACTGCCGCCGACTCCCTTGTCAGTCTTCTCGGCCGAGACATCGGGTTCCTCAGAAACAGAAACCCCCTTAGCCCCTGGCACCACAACCTCCTCAGCAGTCGCGGACCTCTTCTTGAACTCAAGAAGTAGTGCAAAGGAATACAGGTCGAGGTCCGAATGAGCATCCTCTATCTGGTCGCTACAATTCAAGAACCCATCCACAAAGGCTGAGGTGCACTTTTTCAGCAGCTCAGACACCCAGGCCCGCAAAGACGACAGCTCGGAATCCTTGGCCTTCAGGTCTGTAGCCTTGGCTCTGATTTTGTCATCCTTGGTCGCAAGGTCTGCATCTTTAGCCTTGAATTTAGCCTCTAAACCCCCGATCTTCGATTCTTTGAGCGCAACATGGTCCTGATGGCGGGAGTCCAACTTATCGTTGATCTTCTTCAATTACGAGACCTCAAAAACCAAAATTTGTAGCTTCCCCTCGGTAGCGTCCTTACGGACCGTCATGACATCAAGAACATCCTTAGCCTTCTAGAGATCCCGCTCATGATAGATATCCAACATCTTCACATAGGCGAGCGACTACGAAAGAAAAAAGGGGATCGACCAGCGCAAAAAATAGGAAAAGAATTGAAGAATGACTGAGTAAATTAATGGAACAAGAAGGCACCTCGGCCAGGCCCTAGATGGTATGCTGGACCTTCTTTTTAAAGGGAACCTCCATCGCCGATTGAGGATCCGACGTGGAGATCAGCTCTGATAGAGCAGCCACTGCGATTTCAGGATTGCGAAGAAAGTCGCCCCTACACACCTTAGACTTAGAAGGGACGGACTCCCTTCTTCTACCCTTTAGAGGAACCGTCTCGAGTGAGGCAAAATGGGAGGCCAAAAATCTGAACTTGTCCGCTGAAGTCCCCTCCGAGCCAATGTCGCCCTTGAAAAGTACAGGAGAAGACGGGGGCACAACAGTATCTCCTCAGGGAGGAACAACCCCACTTTTTTGTCCCAAAAAAATGGGTATGGGCCCAGTGGTCGATGATGCCTCCTTGGGTGGTAGCTGGCCTCCCTTCGCCAATCTCTTCCTTTTTCTCAACTGCTCAGTATCTGAGAACACTGCCATGATCAGATCTTGGTCCATGTTGCCCGATGGAGAGACAAAAGGTAGAGTAGCCTTTGAAGCTTGGATAATGGGCGGTCCAAGGCCGTGTTTAGCGAGGTTCTCGTCGATTACCAAGTCGAAGAAGTTCCTCAACCCAAAGGCCTCAATTCTAGCAATTTGGACCGCCTCCTCCGTGCCAGGTACTGGGCAGAATTCTGCAAACCAGATCAATCAAAAGTTTGAAACACAAAGAAAATGAGGAGAAAAGAAGATAACAAAGGGGAATGCGGCCGGGAGATTAGCCTTACAAATGTTCCTTGGGACCCCCCCAAGATCTTGGAACACGAGGAACGTCGTCAGTCTCCCCTGATAACTCCCAGGAATCACCCGTGACAAAAAAGAACCTCGGTTTCTATCCTTTATTGGTAGACGGAAGCCCAGAGATCAGAGTCTTTGCCTTTAGTCGTTTAGCAAAATACAAGAAACCTAAGGAGGGAGAGGACTTCAACTAGAAAAGGAAAAGCAAATTCTTGTATAGAGGGAAGGGAAAGGTTCCCACTCTCAAACCAATGGACGAGGAAACCAACCAAGAGGCCCTAACTGTTGGGAGACAGCTGGGCTGGGCAAACGTTGTAAAATTCGAGAACATTCCGGATAAAGAGATGGATAAGAATTGAAGACCAGCCCGAAATACAAACTTGAAGAAGCAAGTCAGTCCGAGGAGGATAGAATTGCACATTTCATTCTCCCTGGGGGAATGTAATTCCACAAAATCAGGAAAAGTGATACTCACGCCTTAACTCCTCCAAATTCTCATCATCAAGACAACTAGGGGTCCCCTCTGCACAACAAGTCAGGTCAAACAGTTCGCGACGAGTTCGGTTTTTAGAAATAGGGGGCAAAGCCGGCTCGAATTTCCTTTTCTTCATTCGAGCTGGAGAACCAGGAGGCAGGGCAGAAAGAGGTATTGCCTCCGCTGAAGGCACCAGGGATGAAGCTCCGGGAGAAGACTCAGGGACTCCACTGCCAGCGAAAAGGGAATGCCCACTGGAGGAAGTTGTGGTGGTCTCCTCGGCCTCACCACTAACGAATTTCGATTCGGAAGAGGAAGAAACAACAAATTTTTCCATCAAAAGGTCGGATCTCATGCCAGAATGAAGGGAAGGGAAATGCAAGGCACAATCTGTCAAAAATAAAGGTTTCAGACACCAGGCCCTAAGTAAGGATACCGTTGCCACTAAAGAACGGTCTACGAATCGCCAAAGGGAAGAAAGATCGTCAGAGTGTTCTCTGAAATAACTAAATCTCCAGACCAAAAAACGGAACCCAAAACCCCATCAGGGAGGGTTAAATGGATCCAGATCGAAATAGCAAGGACAAAGGAAGAAAGACGTACCTAGTGAAACGCTAGAAGAAGAGAAGAACCAGAGACGAGGATGTCATAAGTTGCCCCAGAGTCCAGGTCAAAACACTTCTAATGCACAGAAAGGGAAGAGAGCACGAGAGAGGGAGGAACTCAAATCCACAAAGCAAAAAGCCAAGAGACCTCCCCCCTTTTTTTTACGAGGTACGTATATGTATGCATGAAGCATTAAATTCGAGACAGGCAAGTGACAAGACACACCACAAAAGTCGTATCCATGAGCTCACCCGATGGTGACACGTGCGCATTGTCATCCCATCATCGCCGACAAACGAAAGCATGGCCCAATCCTGGCCAGAACCAATAGCCAGACACAGTTATCACGCCGAAAGCCTAGAACACATCCAATAAAGTCATTTTTAACCCTAGCCTAGAAATGATAACACCTCCATGACCTGGGGCTCGAGGACAACTGATACGGACGAAATTCACGGCCAAGGCCTTGATGGCCCAGAAGACTGACCAGCCCAAGAGATTCGGAGCAGGAAAGCGGGACCTGGCATTGGCAAAAAGCCTATAGCCCAGCAATCGGGGCCCAGCCCAAATCATAAAGCTATTTGGAGAGTAAAAGCCCAATCCAAGTTATTTCTGGATAAGTAAAGGGGACCACGTGTCCAGGGGGACCACCCCTAACACCTGCGGCAATCTCAGAGAAGGTGGAGCACCAAGCCACCAGAGATCATGACAACGGCAGCGCCGGGTAAACAGGGACACTGGATGAACAGTGATCGTGGTGGCAAAAGAAGCAGGAGGGGGGTCAGAGGAACGGACAACTGGAGGCCCTAGGAGAAGCTGGTATAAATGGATAACGGTAAGGAGAGGACTCTAGCTCTCCCCCCCAAAAAAAGAGAAGATCAGTGAGTGCCAAGAAGCCAAAGAACATAGAAAGCTAAGAGAGAATACCTAAGCCCTTATCCTTTGTAAGTGGACCGCAAGTCCCCAAAACTATTAGAGGCATTTCGCCAACCGATAAATATACAAATTCGGCGAGCAAGAAACTCCGTTGATAATGGACATAGCCTTAGTCCTTCGACTAAGGTGAACCACTTATATTCTCAGTCTAACTGATCATAAAATATTAATCCGCAATCTACAAAATCATTTTCGTAACACTATCCCATCTTAGTTGGGCTTGGGCCATAAAATCCGAGCACCATCAAGTTACAATTTACAAAAAAATATAATCGATTTGAGATGTAGTACCCATAATAATAAAGCAGGGCTTATTTTTAAGTCTCCAACTTAAAAACCTATAACAACTGTTCAAATTAAATTAATTTTTATTTAACGATATAAAATATATACCATTTTTTTTAACCCGAGGTGGAATAAAGGTCAAAAGGCTTCTATACGAAGAGTAATATTATACTAATTAAATTTTGGGACTAAATTTTGAGCTAATATGACATGACAGGTGACTTGAGTTTCTTTATTTAGTGTCATGTCAATTGGGCAGCAATAAAAACTTCAAATAATATATTCTTATATCATTTGAGTTTTAAATTTGATTTTAAAATTTGATTAATATATCATTGCTGCTATACAAATGGGGACGAGACTGTCGCGGACCTTCACCAATGCCGAATCATGTGCAGGCTACAAGCTAGTGAATGGGACCAATGTTGTATAAAGGGTTCCAGGCTTTGAAGTTATGAAATAGAGGATTGATAATTTATGTTTTTTGAACAATTCTAAGCTAAATAAAAGTCGAATATGAATGAATTAGTCCAAAGATAAGTAAATTGGTTTGGACATCCTATCCGTTGACAAAAAAAAAAAAAAAACACCGAATACAACTGCCTCAAATTAAAAATAGGCGGATATAAACAAACGTTGGACCATAGATAGCAACGCACCAATTAGCCAGCATCAGCATGACTAATATTCCTCCCGAGTTTTCAGTGCTGTCCAAGTCCAACTATTCAAATTCAACACCCCCCAACACAGACCCACCCATTTTACACCTTGAAACAGTACTACTACTGGTCTCTCTCTCTCTCACACACACACACACACACAGCCTAACATTCCTCCAAGTTTTAGTGCCCTCCGGCTCTTGAAATCAGAAACCCACAACACAGACCCACCACATTTTACACATACAAACACCACTACTGCTACTCTCTCTGTCTCTCTGAGATCTCGAGAAGCCAAAACAGTAACTGCAACTATTCTTCCTCCATGTCCACCTTCGTCCACTTTCTCCTCCTCCTCTGTTTTTGTCTTTTCTCTCTCCTTTCTGTCCACTCTCTCACTCTCCCCTCAGACATCGCAGCACTCCAAGCATTCAAATCCTCCATCAAACCCATCACCATCCCATCATACTCATGCCTAGCCTCCTGGAACTTCACCTCCGATCCATGCTCTGTCCCTCACATAACCCACTTCACCTGTGGTCTCTATTGCACCACCAACCGAGTCATCCAACTCACCCTCGACCCGGCTGGTTACTCCGGCACTCTCTCTCCTCTCATCTCCAAACTCACCCAACTCACCATCCTTGACCTCTCCGACAACAACTTCCACGGCCCAATTCCTTCTCTCTCCTCCCTAACCAATCTCCAATTCCTCTCCCTCCGATCCAACTCGTTCTCCGGCGCAGTCCCTCCCTCCATAACCACCCTCAAATCATTACAATTTCTTGACCTTGCTTATAATTCACTCACTGGGTCACTACCAAACTCCATGAACTCACTCACCAGCTTAACAAGACTGGACCTTAGCTTCAACAAACTCGTTGGGTCACTCCCAAAACTACCACCCAACTTGCTGGTACTCGCTGTCAAGGCCAACTCTTTATCTGGTCCTCTTTATAAATCATCATTCGACGATTTAACTCAGTTAGAAGTGGTCGAACTCAGTCAAAACTCGCTCTCCGGAACCCTGCAAGCTTGGTTCTTCCTCTTGCCATCACTTCAACAAGTCAACTTGTCCAATAACAGCTTCACAAGTGTCCAAATCTCGAAGCCCACCAACCCCAACAGTGACCTCATTGCCGTTGATCTAGGGTTCAACAAAATCGAAGGCTATTTGCCTATAAATTTTTCTGCTTACCCATTGTTGTCGTCTCTGACTTTGAGTTACAACAGGTTACGAGGACCGATTCCATCGGAGTTCGGCAATAAAAAGTCTTTGAAAAGGTTGTTTCTTGATGGAAATTTCTTAAATGGGTCGCCGCCGGCGGGGTTTTTTTCCGGTGGGGCGTCAGTTTCCGGCAGCCTTGGGGACAATTGTTTTGAAAATTGTCCGGTATCTTCGCAACTTTGCTTGAAATCACAGAAACCTACGTCGATCTGCCGGCAAGTGTATGGTGGGAAACCAAGATCATAGTGTCAGTCAATGTTTCTACATAAAAATATATTCTTTTATCTTTTTTCGGTTATATTATTCATGTTGTAATACAATATTGCTGAAGAACTATGTTATATCACTATCAATTATATACTTAGAAATTGCCATATGCATATAAAATATAAATTTTATTTATCAGTTTTGGAAGTTCTTTGTAAATTAAGATATTAGAAATTAGGGAGATTTTTTTTTGTTTAAATTTACATTGACTACTCTTTCAAACTTGGCAGCTGATCATCGTGGCTTGAGTTAGGCTAAAATATGTCTTAAAAAAGATAAAAATGACTAGTCTTTAAAAAGTGTGAGAAGGAATTGAATCGATTTTTAAATTATTAAATGACATGTTTAACCACTCACTATCCGTAAGGATTTAGTGATTTTTTTTTTAAATAGGATTGAGTCTTTCTTAAACTATTTGTTTAGTAAACAAGTGAAGACAACCAGCTATGATTAATAAACGAATTGGGTATAGATGAAGCCAATTAGAAGAATTATACGATATGAGTCATTTATATACCAGTTATATACGTTCATATATGATATGACGTAATTCGTTATATATAAATTAATAAACTAATCAAATATGAGTGATGTATTTTTTGACACAAATTTATTAAGGCTCAACATAAATCTATTTCCTCTGACACAATTGACTGGGCCAAAATTTGGTATCATATTCGAACTTATTGCTCAATTGTGGTCAATTTTGACTTAATTGGGTCACTATAAGACTCAAAATAAGTTACCACTCTGAAAATTTAAATTGTTGGTATTAAGTCCTAAAATCGTCCGATTGCTTTATAATTTTTGATATAATTTTGAAAATTAATTTTGAAAAATGTTTGGTTAATTTCAATAGGATTAATCCATGCATCAAAGGGCAAATTTGGCAATGTGATGTGATAGAGACCAGAAAGCCTGGCGTTTGGAAAAGTTGTTGACTGTCCAATTGGTAAAGGCGCTGTCGGTGGTATCACTTTCACACTGTCAAGTGTGAAATGATTTTCTATCTATTTTTTTTTATTATTATTATTATTACATGTATCGAGACTTCCGCTTATTATTTTCTTGAGCTTATCGACCGATCACTATAACTTAATTTGGTTAAAGTATGTCCTAAAGGTATATTTGGATTGCAGTTTAAAAGATAATAACTCTGATAGAATAGGATAAAAATTTATCTAGGGTTCATACATCTTACTTACGTTTGATAAGTAAAAATGTATTAAATTTTTTTTTCAAATTTTGTTCAACCCCGATATAAAAAGTCAATTTTAACCCATTTACATAAGTTAAATAAAATCAAGTTAGAATAATTTTTTCTCAGACCAGATAAACAAAACAAATGATCGAATTGTCTTGTTCTCTTCTCCTTCTCTCTTTCTCTCGTTTGCTTCGTTTCCTTCCATTTTTTCACAAATCTAATTTTTATTCTTTCAATAAATTATTTTGTTAAAGTAAGACTCGATCGATATACCTTTCCGGAAAAAAAGTTTCGATGATATACCTCAAGAAGACCAAAATGTCTTGTCTAACAATACAAGTAATTTAAATAATAAACTAACTTTAATAAAGCTATATCCTATTTAGACTAAAATTAATTAATAACTAATTAATGAGAGTTTGTGTTAGCTCCCAATAGTCTTTGTAATATATGAATATCCATCTCAACGATACCAAATTAAAATATTCTTAAATTTTATAACATTTAAAAATTATTGTCAATGGTACTATATTAAATCACTTTTTTTTATGAGTTTCACAAAAATGCATGTGTTATCTAAACACCAGAAAAAATATAATATAACCATTAGATCTTAGACAGTCCAATGATAGGTGGGTTTGGATGAGATAAAAAAGAATTTTTTTTTAGATTTTCAATATAGTCCAACCTTGTCATCCAAACACACTCTTACGAGAAGTTAAAAAATTATTAAATCTAAGATCTCTGGGTTATCAAACGTCAGAAAACTCAATCATTGGATCACTCATAAGTAAAGATGACAGTGAATTAGGAAAAATGAGAATTTGTCCAAACCCGTTTCGTTTGGACTAGGTATGGTTTATACGTATTGGACGATGAACGTATAGGAGAATATCCGTATAACCCCGTACGGGGATGAAGACAGGAGTGAAATTACCCTTAACCCCACCCCTGCTACTTGTTATATATATATTACTCTCAAGTCATAACTAAACATATTTACTGTAACTACCAATCTAGAAATATGGTAATCAAACTAACAAGTGACATTTTTATGTGGTAATCTTATAAATTTTTTTCTCTTATTGTTCTTTTTTCTATTTGTGTTCACTGATTGATTGAAACTGTTAAGAGTTTGGATTGATCATGCTCTAAAAACAGATAAGAGAGAATAAGATAGTTTTTGTATTTCATCATGAGTAGAAATATTATGAATGGAGGTTGATGAGTTTCTCTGCTAGAGTAAACTAAGAAATCGAGAGAATTATTGAATTAGTGAAATTTTAAGTTTTCATCTTTTAATACTTTATGGTTGTAATATGAATTGTAATAACAAAAATTATTCTTGAAAACTTCAAGTGTAGTGTTATCGTTTTTGTAGTTCAATTTTATTTTTATTTTCTTCCTTTCTCTCTAATAGTTATGTTTTTATTTTTGTGGTCCAATGACACTTTAAATAGAATACTATATTGTTTTAGTTTTTACAGTTTGCTATCTACATTATGTTGTGTTAGATTATTTAGAATTTTGTTGGATTATTCAAAATTTTGAATTTATTTAAAATTTTGGATTATGCTACTTAGGCTTGATCTTAGGCTTGAGTTTGAACTTGCGCTTAGGCGGGTACGAGGGAAGTGAGGACGGAGATTAGAAATTTACCCGCAGACGGGGATGGGGATAAAAATTATATCTGTTAACGGAGGTGAACTGGGAATGGACGAAGTTTTTTTAAGCTGCTACAGGGATGAAGACTACACTCCCTGCCTCCGATTCGGTCCACTAACATCCCTATTCATAAGAATTAAAATGATTTCTATCAATGATAACACTAGTTACTAGGAAAAAAATTAAATAAAGTAACAAAAATAATAACTTTTAAAAGTTAAATTATAATTATTTAAAATAATTTATAGTTAATTGTAAAATAATGTGTTCAATCATGAATTATTTCAATCACTTATAATTTATCTTTCGTGAGTTAAATTCAATTTAAAAAAAAAAAAAAACTAATGGATCATAATTTTTTGTGACAGCCATCTCTTTTAGAGTTATAACTTACGCTCTAAAAAAATTATAATTTGACCTCAAAATATTATAATTTTTTATACAATAGCCTTTCTCTTGCTATTAAATTATTAGTTGTCGTAATTATTAAGTAGTTCGAATGGAAATGTTTCATATGTTGCTTTCTCAAAATAGTAATAAAATCCAAATTTCAAATGATATATGATATGCACAGAGCTGTTAATTAAATCGAGTAACTCGAGCTCTGCTCGGATTCATCTCATTTTTTGCTCATTCAAGTTCGACTCGTCTGTTAAACGTGTCGAATTTAAATAATTTTGTATGTTCGTTCGGAAAACGAGTTCGATAGATTCAACTCGAACTTGACAGACTCAACTCATTTATGTGCAAATACTCAGGTTCGGCGCATTCAAGTTCGACTTATTTTCTAAATGAGTTGAACTTGAATATTTTTTAAAATTTAATTAAGAAAACAAGTTTTTTAGGCTCGACTCGAACTCAGTTGAATTCGAACTCTAACTCTGTCGAGCTCCAATTCGTTCGAGCTCATTCGACTATCAAACCTTAGATACGCATAGCTTACCGGTGAATTATGAATATTCTAAGTGTGAATTGTATTTATATATGTCTAGAAATGTAAAAAGAAAAAAGAATGGAGCTTCCTGGTGGTGAAGCTTTAGGCATATGCCCTCAGCGTTATGGTCTGCAATATTCCACTCTCTTTCTTTCTTTTTTTTTGATACTTCTGCAATATTCCACTCTGTGAGGATGCTATCAGTTTGCAAAAGACTAGGAGCCCACCAAAGATTTTTCAAAGCCCACTTGTCACCAACCCAGCATTACATAGATTTGCCTGTTCAAACCTTGTCCATCTCTCTCTCCTTATGTAATAGTGTTTGACAAAACAAAAAAAAACAAAAAAATTATTTGTTTCTAATCATTTTCATACCGACATGATAACAAATTTTCGTTGTTTGCTTATAGTCCATATTAATATCGTGAAATCTATATAAAATACACTAAAATAGCAACTCAATCTCTCAAAAATAATGTTTTGAAAGATAAAATAGTTTTTAAGTTATTCATTTGTCACATTTGTATATTTTCCAAATTTATTTTGGCCTTGTGAAATAAAATTGTAATTTAAATGGGTTTATTTACACAATTCTGATGAACCCAGATTCAACTAGGTTAGGCTCAACCAATGAAGTAAGCCCAAATCAATTAAAATGCAAGTCAAGCTTAGTTCATGAATTCGATCCAGTCTAGAATTCAAAGAGTCTAAGAAAATTAGAATACGTGGGAGCAATCACCGGGATAGCCACACTCGAAGATCAAGACAATTTTTAATTGTACATATCCTTAACTGTAACTATTTTTCCCGAAGAATTAGTGTCTTTACCTTCTCGCCACCACCTCGCCTAAAGGTTATGTGTCTATAAATTGTAAACTTTATCTGCATGATAAGACATCTCTTTACACACCTCTACATAGCTATCACTCTCATAGATATCATATTTCTCCCAGAGTTTTCTCTATCACCTTACTTTATTAATAAAGGTTTTTCGACCACCGTTGTCGTTTTCGGAGTGGAGTAGGTCCCCTGACCAAACTACTATTCATCTTTATGTTGATCCAGTATTTGCCTTTTACTATTGATTTCTTTATTAATTGTTCATTAATTACTCTGCATTATATAATTATACATAAACATATTTTGTGCATCATCAAATTCCATTCGAACTTCAGAGATAAATTTTGAGGTTTATCCCAAACCCAAATGTACAAGTACAACCAAACACGAAAAAAATGATTCTCACTTGAAATTACTATAATCCGATTTTTTATTTATTCCCAAACTAAACACACCCATAATTGCACACCACTTTTAAACATGGTTTTGAAAAAATAAATAACAGTTGGCAATTTAAAATAGTAGTCTTATGATAATCGAACATCCAAAAACGAACACTTATGTTTGTACCCCCCACTCCCCAGCTAGTTTTTTTTTTATATGTATAATTTTTCATAAGGTGAATAATCTGTTGTGAATTCAAATGGAATCTATCACACACAAAGTCAATTCTCCTCAATACTAATCATTAAAAAAATATATTAAACGGCACCCAAGTGTTAAAAGCTGTCAAATTTTCGTTTTTTGTTGCCCTAAATAAAAAAATATGGTAATTTCAAAGGGGTGAAATGAGTATCAATCAATATAATAAATCTTGGCAATTATTCGGGGTTAGGTTATAAGAAATTTATCTTTCATGAATATCTTAGTCCCGACATAAATGATTTATTTTTGACCAAATTAAAAAAAAATTAGTTAAAATACATGTAAGTTGACCTAAGTAGCTCTGACTTTTTGAGTAGGTAATAATTTATTAATTGGTTTGGTAGGTTAGTTTTCTCAAAGAACTAAAACAAAGATATCCCGTTGGATTAGGTAGCACATGGCTTTGTCCTAATGAGCCGTTTTGGTTGGTGCCTTATCCTTTGAAATTTGGACATTAAGGAGGGGGAAAAATACAGTAGATTCCTCGTAGCCGTATGTAACCATTAAAGAAACTATAGAGAGATGTGTTTTGTCATATTCGGGTGATATCATATTTGAAAACATATTATTTTAAACTTGTATCGTATCAGGTCATAGTTCACTAAAATTTTAGATAATTCATGAATTAGAATTGACATGACTTGAAATTTTTTTAAAACAAAATCCAAATTCACCGCATACTGATGTCGACGAATTAAAAATGTATTTGATCCACATATTTACAAAACTAAATAAAAAGTAATTCCATTATAATTTATACAATGCTATGGTCATCATATTTAAAGTAAAAAAGAAATATATTCTTTTTGCAACACCAATTAAATAAGTTTGTTATATCAAAACAAGTTATTCATACTTGATATTAGTCTAAAATATTTGTTATTTATATCAATTAATCTTTGGCACTTTTGATTTTGTATCACTCCTAATTTATTTCAATAGTGTAGAAACATTTTTTTTGTATGTAGAGTAAAACTATGTATATCTAATTTTTTGTTGATTATAGAGTCTCGTGTGTTAGGAGTAGGGTAAGATTTGAATTAACATTGAATGAAATAATAAAAAAATATATGAAAATATTTAATTTAAATGAGTGTATAACGCATGATCAAAATAAATGACGAAAATAGACTCATATAACCGACCTTAAATGATTGGGATATAAGATTTGATCCGGTTTGATTAAAATCATGGGTCATTTGGAAACTGGTACACTAAATTAGACATAATTGTAAAAAAATACAAAAAAAAATTGTGTTGTAAAGAAATACAATGTTGAGATACAAAGACTTAACTATCATTTTTTTAAAATTTATGGTCCGTTTGGTAACAATTCAATTTTCAATTTTTTCATTTTTGTTTTCAATTTTTTAGAAAACTAAAATTTAAACTCTTTTGGTAATCATTTTAGTTTATTTTTAACTAAAATCGTTTTCAAATCTGTCTCAGATTTTGGAAACCAAAAAAAGTCATTTCCAAAAAAAAAAAAAATCGAAACAGGCGAAAGCGATCGAGTCTTGTTAGCAACAAACTGTCCTCTGCCAAAAAACCTTCAAGCAAAAATATTAAACCCTCACACTCCCTCTCATCACGTCGTCTCTCTCATTACCTTCATCTAGCAAATAAGGGTTCCAGCAGCTTAGACATCCAGGAGCTTCTTTCCAGCAGCTCAAAGACGTCCAGCAACTTCGTCTCTCTCATCTGAATCTCTCTCACCAAGGTAAGTCCTTAGATCTAGGGTTTTCAGATTGATTTTGTTTTCAGCTTGGTCTCTTTTGTTCCAACAGCTTCGTTCCTTAGATCTTGTGTTAGATTTGATTTGCTTTAGGTTAAGGTGAATGTTAGTCAATAACTTCTATTTACGACTAGAGCTCACAAAGGTAGATCAGGGCTCTGCCTCGCTATGCTACAGTCCAAATAGGTGCCCATTCATTCCAATAGCAAAACAAAAGCAGATACTGTGGATATGTTTCTATTGGTCCTATATAATTCAGAGATATATTTTAAAACTAGGTCCTATTCAACATGTATTTCATGACTCTAAAGTGGTGTCAAAATTTTTCCAAATCAAAGGATCTCAAATTGCATTGCCAATGAGTTGTGGGCAAGTGTTGGATATTGAGACATATGATTTTTGGTGTATATGAATTATTATCTCGAATTATTATTAATGAGTTGATGTTTATATAGATTATTATCTTGGATGTTTGGTAAATTATGAGATATATTTGGAGTATGAATGTTTTATGAATTATGTTATGTCTTAATGTGTTATCTTTATATTATGTTATTTTTACAGTTAAATTAACATGAAAATATATGGTATAAATAAGTTGTTCATAAAACTATTTAGAAGTGATTATCAAACAAGTTTTTTGTTTATGTTTTCATTTTTTTTTATAACAAAAAATACAATTAAGCAGGTTTTCTATTTTTTTTTTATAAAAAAAAATCAAAACTGTTTCAGTTTTTATTTTTTTAAAAACTAAAAACCGATAATGTTTCCAAATGCAACCTCTAAGTCTCTCTCCACTTTGTCGCTCTCTTTCCATCATCCCTCTCCATCGTCTCTTGGTAAGTCTTAGTCTCTCTCTATTATTGATTGCAGGCTCTCCATTGAGCAGGTAAGTCTCTCTCTTTCTCTGTTATTTTTCTTTGCATCGTTAGGGCTCAAGGTTCACTTATAGGAGGATTTTATTTACAAACAGAAAGAACGGATTGTTGTCTTAATTAATTGGGTAAACATTTCAGCTCTTAGCTAGGATGATTGCATGGGTCACAAAATACAATATTTTCAGATACCATGTCTAGTCTCAGAAAAATTGTTTCAAAATAATTGATGCTGTGATAATTGATGTTGGAAAGAACTTGTTAGAATAATTGTTTCAGAATATAGGTAATATAATGCCCTGATGTTGTGATATTTAGAATAATTGATGCTTGCAATGTATGTTGCTTCTTCACTTGATGCTTCTGTTTTTTGATACCTGAACGAATTCATGTGTTCATGATCTGCACCATGCTTGTCGAGCTTAATGACATTTTCTTTTATTAATTTTTTTCCTCCTTTTTTTCCCAATGTTCGTGTCCTATACATTGTTTCTTTTTGGCAATTAAATGAAGATCAATAGCAAGTGTTTTGGTAAAGAATTAACATATATTTACAATGATAACTGAAATTCAATTAGCAAAAATGGAACTAGCCAACCAACAATGATAGGCTAATATAGTGTCATGTATAATAAATTATGTTGGCTTAAACTTGGACTTGGACTTGGGTTTGGGCAAGTACGAGAGACAGGGTAAAGGCAAGAGACGGGATGGAGCGAGAATTAAAAATTAACCAACAAATAGAGATGTGAATGAAAACTATACCTAAATGTGGACGAGATTGACATGAGAATAGAGAATAGAGATTACACCCCATTCCCCACTTCGGTCTACTGACGTCCTAAGTGTAAGGACGCTAAAATAACTCAAGCCCCTAGTTAGGCCAGAAGACGGGCTGGCCCGTCTCATTCTGTTATAGGGTTTCACTTTCGATTAATATATGAGAACCATCCCCGAATCTCCCAGACGGTCGGACCTACTTCGTCTCCGACGCCGGTGAAATTACAGCAGTGGAAACACTCCGGCGTAGCTTCTAAACCTCCGATTATTCCCCAAATTTCCAATTCGTTCGAGTTGCATTGGTCGCAGAGGGGCTGTTTCTTCTCCTACACCGGACGAATTGCAGCAGCCGGAGCACTCTGGTTAGATTTTGTACGCCTACGGTAAGTCACCAACTGCCTTAAATAATAATACACTCCTTTAAGGCATGTTATTTCAACAAAAAATTGTGCAGTCTAGATTAGGGCCTCTCTCTCTCTCCGTTTCTCGCTTTTGTTGATTGGATTTCTACAAAGAATCGGAGACATGGATTAAAACACTTCCGACTGTTCTCTCTGGGTCGAAAAAGTTGACACTTTGTACAACAAAGTTTTCTTTGTTCGTTGTTTAAGATGGTCCACGAGCAAATTGGAATTCTGCCACCTGTGGTGGATTGGTGCCTTAACTGGTCTAGTTATTCTTGATTCTCGAGAGCTATGTAATTTGTTCCTTCTGTTATCAAATTGTCTGTGCTTGAGCATGTGTTTTATTTTTTTTTTTTTCCCGTTATGCATTTATACTCGGATGTTTTTTTTATGTTTTGTTCATATCCAACAGTCCAATTGCAAGAGCTTTGAAGGATTAATTCTTAGACATGGGGAAGACTAGCACACGGTAAGATTTGTATGACACCACAGCTTTGAAGGATTAATTCTTAGACATGGGGATTAATTCTTCATTATACACATATTGCGCGACTCTGGTCTTACTGTTAATTTTAAACTTTATTTTTATTATTTTTCGATTCAGATCAGAAGAATCAACACGCGCCGACAGCAAATTTGAAAAGAAACTTCAGTTTTATGCCAGTATGTGTAACTGTATTCTAGGCCAGAATTGTTTCCTTGTTATTGAAATATGCGCTGATGATACATATAGATAATGTATATATCGCATACATGTGTGTATATCTGTTGTTCCCAAGCAATAAATTTTGGAAAATTCAAAACCCATTTCATGCCCCCTATTATATATGATATGAGAATATTGTGGTTGAAGTGATCATGTAAAGCATATAATTTAGGGTTAGCTCATGTTATAATTGAAGGAATCTGTAAGCCTTTCAGGGAAGCAAAGCCTTCAACTATTTCTTTGTCGATTTTTAGAGGCTCTTTTTAGTTAGTGTGTGGAGTGGTTTGTTTTCCTTGCCCTCGTTGACAGATGTACTTCGTGGTCCTTATTGACTCATTCAGTAAGCACTTAATGTAGTAACAGCTGCATTTGACATTTGTTTCAATGGAACCATCTGTGATGTAGATATTCTCAATGCCTGTGTGGATCATGATGGGACCGTTGAGTTTCCATGGGATGGGATACCCTACTATTTTAAACTGGATATTGAACATTGCAATATATTTGTTTGGTGTTTCATGCTAGTAATATCAAGTGCTGGGATTTTGGGCTTCCTATCCTCAATTAGCTTTTAAGGGAAAAGCTCATTGTTACTATATTATATATAGTTGGGTTTTTATATGATTTCTTCACCTTTTCCCACCGGGAGGGGAGCGTTGTGTGTTGCTTAAGTTGAAGAAAGGTTCCTTACTTTCATCTAGCATTGTACAATTGAAATTAGCAGTGGAGTTTCAGTACGTGGTTGGATTGGCATGCTCCATGCTTTTATGTGTATTTGTCTAATTTTCAGGTTGCATTACAAAATTTGAAGTATATTCTATAGACCTTTGTCTCATTTCGCTATACCCTACAATTTTTCATATATTGCCGAAGTTAAGGAACAATATCTGAACAATTGTTTGGTGTAGTTAGTGAAAAATATCTGAATACATTGTTGGTACAGTTCTCTCTGTCTAAGAAAATGTGGACTATGATTATAATTATCTTCATCAATAAGACAGACTGATTAGTGGTTGGTATTCATTTCTGTTGCTTCAATTTATTCTTTTGGTGGATGTTAGAATGTTAATGCCGTGCATTTACTTGACACTATTAAAGTTTTTACTGTGATCTTATTACTGGTATATGTTTCTTGTAGAGGTCAGAGATACAGTTACTTCATTAAGCGCTCAAAAGGCTATTACTAAGGTGAGACTCTTCTAGCTTTCTATTTGTTGATCTCAATCAATTAAAGTAACCTTATCCCTTTCTTTATTGAATATGGAGTTGATACTTTTTTCGGTTATCATTGGATTTGTTTTGTGGTTTCTGGGAAAAAAACTTTTAATGTATTCCATAAATTTAAAACAAAGAGTTTACTCAAATATACAAAAAACTTTGGAAGTGGACTTGGCTTCACAGTGCAGCATTGTTGGCACTTTGTTGCTCTCAGTTATTGGTCCCAGCAATGCCTTGTTTTATTTTCTTTTGGTCCCAGCAATGCTTTGCTTTATTTTTCTTGAGGTTAGTCTGCTGTTGAGTCAACATTTGGTATGCCTTCTTGAGTTTTCAGAGTGTTTGTATTTTGAGTATTTGAAATTTAGCTGGACATGATTCATAATGGGGGTTGCTTTTGTAATTAGATAGGTTACTAAGTCATTATCTGCGGTTGAGTACGTCTATAGGGGTTAAAGTGAAACTATATCCATGTAGTGAATCGAATTCATCAAGTTCTGTAGTAGTCCTAGTGTACGTATAGGCATGTGTACATCAATTCAGAGGATTTTATGTAGCTCTTTGGAATTGATTCAGTGCAGCAGTACAAGGGTGGTTTAGGAAGATTATGACTTGTTTTTTTCTGGCTGAAGAGTGATTAAATATTGGGTTTTAAGGGTTTTAGTTGTTGAATGAGGTTATATATGTGTATACATTATATACATTGGCTGAAATATTGTAACAGACCTTTGAGATAGCATTGATGCTTTCTTTGAAAGATAATCTGTGAATTGATATACTGAAGAAGTAATTCCGGTTTCTACCAGAAGAAGAAACTTCGAAGCCGACGCAAGAAATTGAAGGCATATGATCTTTCTTCCCTCTCAGAGTTCCTTCCCGAGTTGAAGGCTCCCCGGCGACCAACTCCTGCTGAATTTAAACTGAATAGTAAATCCAGGCAAACTCTAGTGTGAGTACCTCAATAGCATTACTTATCACCCTCTTGAAAACTTTTCTGTTGTATTATATCGTTATTCGTGTTATTTGTTGTATATGTAATTGGTATTTTTTCAGGCTGAAGGAGGGAAATCAATTGAGAACAGTTCTTAACCATCCGGCTTTCCGGGCAAACCCGTTGGCTGCTATTCATCAACATTTACAGAGCACACAGCCGGATAGCAATGAGAAAACAAAAAGAAAGGACAGCAAAAATGGGAAGAAGAAAGCTAGTGGGAAAATCTAGAGCTTCATCTGGGTCTCAATCCATGGAGGTCTGATTTGCATTAGGGTTTTAACTTCTTCACATTTTTTGGTTGCTTGCTCTCCTGAGCCACTCATGTTTTCTTTCTCCTTTTCAGTCTTATGTGCCATGTATGTTCACTTCTTGGCATCAATCCTCCTGTTGGTCAAGTTCCATTTATGTTGACTTCGTAATGCCCCGAGGGCTCGTTTGGTTGACATATTAGAAAGGGTACTAAAGAGTTAACCAGGATTAAAGTTAATACTACATTTGAATGTCAAAAGTCATTCGGTACTATGCATAAGACTAAATCAAATACGTATATTAACTATATATTTTTATACCATCTAGTACTATTAAGCCAATTGTAATCCTATGTTGTTATTTCATTTCTTTTTCTCATCTCTACTTTTGTTCTTCACAAAAATCCCTCGTTTTTGTTCGGGAGAGATCCTTCTCATCTTTCATCCATTATCAGCCAAGTAAGGTAATATCTTTGATCATTAATTGTTTTAGTTTACTATATATTTTTGATTGTACACATTCAAGTAAAAAAACAATAAAAAAAAATTAAACTAGATCGAATTGAGGGTATTTTAGTCAATGTAATACTAATACCATGAGATTCGTAGACTAAATAAACATAAGATAGTCGAGATGAATCATGTATTCATAGACTTAATCCAATGTCATACTAAATGAAAGATAGAATAGAAAATCTTTTTTTTTCACTTGTACAAGATTACTAATCCAATTTTTTTTATCAATACGACAACTAAACGAGTCATAATTTGATAAAATTTTATACGGCATTTTCATTTCTCATTTCTTCGCATCATGTGTAAGATTTTTTTGGCTTCAATGTTGGTGCTATGTTTACAATCATTCTGTTGTGTTCAGTAGAGGAGAACGCTGGTTATCTAGTAGTGTTACCAAATCAAACAATTAAATGGTAAACGCTGCATTCTCCTTTCATATTTTTGTGCTGATACCAAATCCATCAATCATGAGATGTAAACCATGAAACTCACTCCCTCCTCCCCCCTCTCCTCTCTCTTTCTCTCTAGCAGTTGAAGAGCCATTGTTATTTCATGTTTGTCGTCCTGTGAGTATTGCTTGATAGCCAATCAAGACCCTCATGGAGTCCTTGGCCAGTCGTAGCCGAAGTACCTTGGATGTACCTGTTCAAGGCAATTCAGTAAAACGAATCAACCAAACCAAAGCTAAAACACTATTGACTCGAGAAACAAAGAAATCCAATCACAAGTATGTTTGACTAAAGGGAAGTACTAGCTGTAATAGCAGGCAAGAAAGACTGCAAAATATTTGAAGTATAGACAAGGTAAAGAAGTCCAAATGAAAAGATTGGGAGTCTCTTGCATTTTCTTCTTTTCATGCAACCATCATTATTTTCAGCCAAATTATAATGTCACGGGCAGTTATAGGGTCACTAGAATGAAAAAAGAATTTAAACCGTGCCTAGGAAAGTAGGACCACTCGAGCTTTTTCTGTTTCGCATCATACAATCGTGTGTGCGTCTCACCATGATATCAAACTAATGCAAGTTTTACTACTTGGCAAAGAAAGCTAATACTTACCACTGACGCTGACGAACGGAGTGTAGGGATAGTTTATCAGCTACCTCAGAAACATGCAGAGCATGTGGAAGGTCTTGCTTATTGGCAAAAACAAGCAGAGCTGCATTACCTAGTTCATCCTGCGACAATTTTCAAGATTCAACTGTATGTCTAAACAGTAATGCAACATTTCTATATGCAGACTTAGTTGCACCGACGAACCCAACAACTCTGTAAAGTGTGACAGAAAGTCCTGACTATCAGATTATATTTCATAAAACTTTGTAGAGAAGCATTGTATTCCCAATATCAAAAAAATTAGTAACCAACCTCACTCAGAATCCGATGCAGCTCATTTCGAGCTTCTGGAATTCTTCCCCTGTCGTTGCTGTCCACCACAAAGATGAGTCCTTGTATATTCTGAATGTAATGTCTCCACAAAGGTCGAATCTGTTTACAAGTAATGACACGCCACCTTCCCTAAAATCAAAATCCTTTACAGTTTTTTGACACTCGGAAGGATTATTCATCCTAGACCAAATCAGATTTTCTTAGTTTTGCTCGTTTCTACTGATTTACGAAAACATGATTTCAACATCAAAATTATATTTTTCTGGCATACGATTGGTGACTTTTGTTCTCTTACCCCTTTTGAGTTCTAACATAAGATTGGCTATTACCTTAATTTGAAAAAAAAAAAATTCATGGACAGAAGAAAATCATTAAATTTTACCTTATCTTGTCCTCCTAAATCCCACACGTTGAAGCTGATGTTCTTGTACTCTACAGCTTCCACATTAAATCCTAGGCAACAACAATCAAGCCTATTGTTAATAGTAATACATTGTAAATTGTTCAATCAAACCCAAAAGCACTTTATTTATTTAAGACTTCAATAAATATCAAACTCAATTTTAGTTCTGGTGCTAGCATGTCAAATAACATAACAAATGAACTTAGCAATAAGCATAACTAGATGACTAAGATAAATTGGACTGATTAGCCATTTGAGTTGATCTTGCATAGATAATCAAAATAATAATAATAATAATATTTCCCCATGTATTTTAGCACCTGAACAAACCAGTTTATATATTTGAAGTCAAAATTATTATAGTTTGCAACTTTTGAATTACATTATAATCATGTATTTGTTAAAAAAAAAGCGTCATTTCTAGTATGAGTACTGCGCCCAACATGATATGATAGTTTTTATGGGTAGTAAAACATCGAACTTTTTGTTGGGACCCTTTTCATAGATTTATCGAGATATCTTCTAACAAAGTTACGTTATAACATCTATAACTTCCTCTTGTTTAGGTGGGCAGCCTAGCAAAGAGACATCCACACCGGAATTTGTTTATCGACTCCCCGCTAAGCATCGATACTGGTCAAGCTCAAGCTTAGAACATGCCATGCTTAAATTGAAATATAAAAGCAAGTGTGTTTTGGAATCCTTGGGGAGTCAGATATGCACTTATTAAGAAAGAATTGTCAGGATAGTTACCAATTGTGGGTACTGTTGTGAAAAACTCTCCGCGCTTCAGCTTGTACAGAATGGTTGTCTTCCCAGATGCATCAAGACCCACCATTAGTATTTTTGTATCGCGTTTTGCAGGAAGCCTCTTTACAAGCCGAGACAAGGATGCACCCATGCTAAATCAGTTCATAACCTTCAATCCAGAATGATAAGCTTCATCTGTGGGGACAAATAAAAGAGTTATACCCATACGAAAATAGATGAAGGGTAGCAAATAGTTTCATAGAGACAGAGAAATAACCAGAGGAAATCTTGTGTTCCAAGCCATTACCAAATGGGACCTAGTTGGGAGAAAAGGCAAAGGAGCATACGATTCTCATAAAAAGAGGAGGCCAAAAGAAGAGCAATTGGTTTCTTTTACTTCCAATAAGAGTTGATGATGTACAAAATTGGTTTGCACATCACCTGTCAAGTATGCAATATAAAATGCAGTAAAATAAGTAGAGGGAGAGAGAAGACAAGATTTATAGTGGCTTGGTCAACGTGACCCACGTCCACTTTGAATGGCAAGGGTCGCCAGAATTTTATTATCTCCGGTGTGGAAGGAGAGCACAAGATTACAAGCTTTGAAAGAGGAGGAGAAAATTATACTCAAATAAGTCTGATGCCCCCCAAATGTTGGTGGAGTGTATAATTTATAGTGGCTTGATGTAGTAATTGAATAGTTAGTCTGACGGTCATAATGGGTTGGGGTCGTTTAATAGTAATTAAATATCTTGGCGACCTTTCTTCTACTCAACCAGCAAGGAAGTTATGGTACTCTCAAAAGGACTTGGTCAAGGATGAGAGAGGTTGATTCTCTCCAGGCTGCGAGGGTGAAGCTCATGAATACTCCCTTACTTCAAGGTGGAGAGGAGGCTCTTGGACGACCCTTGCTCCAAGGTGGTAGAGAAGACTCTTGGAAGACCCTTGCTCCAAGGTGGTAGATGAAACTCTTGGATGACCCTTGCTCCAAGGTGGTAGAGGAGCTCTTGGATGAGCTTTTAGATAACCATGTGTACTTCTCTACTGATGTAACTCTTGGAACCTGATGAGCTTGACCGGGTGCAGACCCTTTTGGGCTTGGACGTCTTGGAGTTGGGCCCTTAGACTTGATCCATCATTTATCCCTCAATGCCCCATGTCCAATGAAATTTGGAGAGGAGGACATTCGATTGAATTTGAATTTTCGGCTAACCGACACAATTGAAAAAATTTTTGGAGGCCAAAACATCTGTTTCTAGGCCATTTTGGACTTTCAACAGTATCAATCATAGCAAAAAGCTATGTGTCTTGTAGGGCTCGCCGAGAGTTTCAATTTGATATATTATAAGTCTCATTTAGAGTGACAGAGCAAAAGATACGGTCAAAACTTCAACCAGAGAACTAGGCGAGCAACACTGTTCTGGGTGAGCAGAATTTTTTTTTAAAAATTTTCTGGGCCTTTTTTGGTCTTTTTTTGAAAAGCTCATTACCAAAGGTAATGAGATTTGCTCATCTCGTCGAGAGCTTCAATTTGGTATATAATAAGTCTTATTTTGAGTTTTAGATCAATAGTCACGGTCAAAATAGCGTGCAGGGAGCTGGGCAACCAGGTAGCTTTTGGGTGAGTAGGGAGTGTCCTAGGCGAGCAGGTAGCAATTTTTTTTTTTAAAAAAAAACCTTCGGGAGGCCAAAACACCTTTTTTGGACTTTTTTTGAAAATCTTATTAGCAAAAGTAATGAGTTTTGCTTAGCTCGTCAAGAGCTTCGATTTGGTATATAATAAGCCCCATTTAGAGTTTCGGATCAAAAGTTACTGTCAACATAGCATGGAGCCCTTTTTAAATCCGAATTTTTTAAAAACTCCTTGTGATCGGCCACCCCATTCCTTCCAGTAGACTCCTTTTACTTTTAGGACTCCATTGACTATATAAACTGCTTCTTTCACTTTCCTTTTGAATTTTTGGAGAGATCGTTGTTGTCCCCGGAGATGAAGAACATGGAGCTGAGAGGAGTGATATTAGGAGAGCGGCCTGTTGTGCACACGTCTGGAGTGTATGAGAAGGAGGTATTGGGCGCCCAGGCTCTGGCGACCCCAATCTTGGCGAGCAAGCCAGACGAGAGAGGGAGGCACGCAGGTGTAAGGGCTTGTCTCGGGACTGCTAACGTGCAAGTTAGGCGCGCTGGGGCACGCACTGTAGAGAGGTAGCAGACTAGGTGAGCGGGGTTGCTGCGGCGACGATCCATGTTGGGAGAACAGGTTGTGCGCCTTGGCAGTCTTGGGCAAGCAAGATAGGTGCCTTGGCAGTCTTGTTAAATGGGAGTTCATGGAGGGCCCTCAAGCAAAAACTGGGTGTTGAGGATGTTGAGACCGAGATGGTGACCCATGCTGCAGGAACGGAGATGAGGAGCACCGGAGTGGGGATGCCATTGGCATGGGGAGGAGCTATGGTGTCAAATGGAATGCTCCATGCGATGGAGAGGCGCCCATGGTGTTGGGCATTGCTGTAGAGGCCCCTATGGTGATGGGCGCCGCTGGAGAGGAGCCCATGGTACTGGGCATCGTTGTTTGGTGATTTTGTTGATTGCGATGGAGGTGCGCTGTTTGGAGGCAAGCGCAAGTAGAACTTGTTTGCGCTAGGTGTTAAACGCAAGGTGCTGCGGCAATGAGGCGGCAGTGCCAGATGGACACAAAAGAGTGAGGTCCGATTGTTGACATTCAATTTAATGTAGTCCCTCGGGTTGCAGACAACCTAAGTTTCAAGTGCCTGGGTAGAGATGACAAAAAAAATGTTATTCCAAATATTAAAATATATAACATAATTACCTGGAGAAAGAGGTAGGCTGCTTGCGCGAGAGCAAAGACAAAGTTTGAGGATTGCTCGTGAGAGAGCTACACATTTTTAGACCAAGTTTTTGGAGATCCATGAGAGAGTCCTTAAGCTTGAGGTATAAGTTGCTTGCTTGAGAGCAGAGCAGAGGCCAAGTTTTTATGACCTGCGAGATAGTTACTAAGCTTGAGATATAGGCTACTTGTTTGAGAATAGTGTAGAGATCAAGCTTTTGGCGACCCGTGAGAGAGTTGCTCAGCTGAAAATAGGTTATCTACTTAAAAGCAGTGCAGAGGCCAAGCTTTTGGCGTCCCGTGAGAGAGTCGTTTAGGTGGAAATAAGATGTCTGCTTAAAAGTAGTGCAGAGGCTAAGCTTTTGGCGACCCGAGAGAGCTGCTAAGCTGGAGATAGACTGCCTGCTAAAAAGCAGTGCAGAGGCCAAGCTTTTGGCAACTTATGAGAGAGCTGTTAAGCTGGAGATATAGGCTGCTTGTTTAAGAACAATGCAGAGGCCAAATTTTTGATGACCCATGAGAGAGCCGCTCAACTGAAAATAAGCTACCTGCTTGAGAGCAGTGCAGAGATAGATCAAACTTATGGCGACCGGTGAGATTATTCATCTCGCCTGGACTTGTTGATGTCCTCAGCATTCATATAGTTTTGAGCTTTTGTCAATAGTTCTGGCATGCTTTTTCGTGGGCGCTTCATCACTGAGAAGAAGAAATTTGATGACCGGAGGCCTCCTAGGAAGGCGGTCATGCTGACTTTATCATCGGGCTCCTCGACTTGAAATACCTCCTCGTTAAAACAAGTGAGGTATCTCCTCAGGCTCTCGTCTTGATTTTGCCTTATGCTAAGCATGTAGGTAGCAGGCTTTTAGTGACGGCGTCCTCCAATGAAGTGTGACACAAATGACCTACTCAGCTCAGTAAACGAGCCAATAGAAGTTGGGGAGAGCTTGGCGAACAATTGTCGAGCGGATCCTTTCAAGGTGGTTGGGAACACTTTACTCATGATTTCGTCGAGGACGTTGTGTAGCTGCATCAAGATCTTAAAAATTTCGAGGTGGTCCAGTGGATCCTTTGTATCGTTAAAGGTTTTGAGGGATGCCATCTTGAATTTTTGAGGGAGTGGGTAGTCCACCACGTCAGGTTTGAAAGGTGTTTCGGTTCGACTTATGAGGTAATCCACTATCTCGAGTCCTTGTGCCTTCATGGCATTGAAGACGTTACCCAATTGATCTTGCACCTCCTTAATTTTTGCATTCCAATGATTAGGAGGAAGTACTATGAAATTATCATAGAAATGATTTTTACCCTCATCCTCTTGAAAATGAGAGTCTCCACCATGGGGAGCAGGAGCTAGAGGAGAAGTTGGAGGTCCCTTATGGTGGGCCCCCCTGTGTGGGGTGCCCAGGGGTACTCCCAGAGGTGGGGTGCTTCCTTGATGAGGATCATCTAGGTGGGGAGCTCTTTGATAGACAGGACGTGGAGCTCCTCCAACTTGATGTCTAGGCTGTGCTGGTTCTTGTTGTCCGAGCATTAGTTGCAAAATCTGTTGATTCTGGGTTATAAGCTGTTTCATGGTCTCCATCATCTGCTGCGCATTTGGGATTGGATTGGGTGTAGGAGCAACCTCCTCCTCTCGTAATGGAATGTCTTCAAGCTAATGCATGGATTTGGTGGTGATCGCCTTTGATTCAGCAAAGAAAATGTTTAGGTGAGAACTTTGTTGTTCCCACAGATGACGCCAAATTGATGATGCACAAAATTGATTTGTACACCACTTGTCAAGTATGCAGTATAAAATGTAGTAAAATAAGTAGAGGGAGAGAGAAGACAAGATTTATAGTGGTTCGGTCAACGTGACCTACGTTCACTTTGAATGGCAAAGGTCGCCGGCAATTTTATTATCTTCGGTGTGGAGGGAGAGCACAATATTACAAACTTTGAAAGAGGAGGAGATGATTATACTTAAATGAGTCTGATGCCCCCCAAGTGTTGGTGGGGTGTACAATATATAGTGACTTGATGCAGTAATTGAATAGTTAGTCTGACGGTCATAACAATTGAGGTCGTTTAATAGTAATTAAATATCTTGACGACCTTTCCTCTCCTAAACCGGCAAGGAAGTTATTGTACTCTCCAAAAGACTTGGTCAAGGATGAGGGAGATTGATTCTCTCCGGACTGTGAGGGTGAGGCTCATGAATGCTCCCTTACTCCAAGGTGGAGAAGAGACTCTTGGACGACCTTTGCTCCAAGGTGGTAGAAGAGGCTTTTGGATGAGCTCTTAGACGACCATGTTTACTCCTCTACGAATGTAACTTTTGGAATCTGATGAACTTGACCGGGTGCAGACCCATTTGGACTTGGTTAGCTGGACTTCTTAGAGTTGAACCCTTAGATTTGTAACATGAGTTGGGCCTTTGGGCTTGACCCATTAAGAGTCTCTGTGCCCCCCACCCCCACGGGAATTTCATATCACATATACTGGAGATGACTAAAATTGTGGTTGGTGACGGCCAAAGCTTAAACAGAACGTATACGATTGTCTACGAAGTTATGTGCTTGCTTGTGTATATCTATGGGAAAATAAAATATAAGATACTCCTCCACAAGCATTGGAAGGGATTCTCCCTCTAGTATTACTATAGCTATAGATCAAATGCCTCATAGTATGGTATTTCCAAATCTGGAACCAAACCTTAATTAGTAAATTTTATAATATAAATTAAAAATATTATTAAAAATTAAAAAGCTTCTTGGAGACTAATAGCTTTAGGCTTCATATGTTCTCGAGTCACACCTTGTTTGGTCCATTTGCATACCAATGGATTTGATCAACCAAAATTCCAATATCTGAGAGGTTCTACTCATTCTGCCTTGCTGAGTCAATAACCTATTTGAGTTACCTGCCAGTTTAATTTTTCCATAACCCGACTCCACAACCAGTTTGATCGCTGTGAAAGCTGCCAAAGCTTCCACGGACTCTACTTGCAGAAGACCTCTTCTTAACTGAGACAGACCCACCACAAAAGTCGCATTGCAATCTGTTATAACCACCCCAATTTTAGCAGCTTTAGATGACTTGAAAGAGGCTCCAATTATTTTGAAGACTCCCAGCGGTGGAGCAGACCATCTGAGGATTCATTAACTCGTATTTGAAACATAACCTGCACAATTTGGATTTGGGCAAGCTACAAGTAACAAGATGCAAAATCCACAAACTGATTTGGAGAATGAACATCTTGCACCAGTCAAACTCTACTTCTACCGTACCAGGTTGACAATGCCAGAAACAACATCATGCCTACCTGTTCAGAGGCAACCTTTCGAAAACTCCCATCATCCAATTCGGAAAGAGATGAGTTGAATCCTGATGCAATTTGATCGCTGATGCTTCCCACACCTGTGATGAAAAGGGACAATTTGTTTACTAGATAACAGAAAATATGACTCCTCATAGAGCTGACTGCCATAGATAAATTCATTTATGCTTAACACCTAATGTGATCTACTACTAATAGGACGGAGTGAGAGATAATGATGCAGGATCCTACAAAGAAAGAATCCAATTAAATGAATCTATGTAGCTGAGTATGATTCATTAATATTTTTAAAATGTAAATTCAATTCTGGTCCACGGGTAATGCAATATTTTAGAATTAAACTACCACATTCTTTTGAAAGCAATCATAACATTTTTTCTATTAATGAGGTTTTACAACCAAGAAAAAGGGAGAAAACAGATATATGCATAAATGAACTGAAGAGTTTTGAAAACTGATTCACCTATCATCTGTGGGAGAACCTTTTTTTGAGTTTTGAAAACTGACTCACCACCTAATGAAGTTGTCAAAACCAAAACAGAGAGAGAAAATGGATACATGAATGAATGAATTGAAGAGTTTTGAAAAAAACAACTCACATATCATCTGTGGAAAGCCCTTTCTTTGAATCAGCTACTCCTCTTATACGGAGGGTAGACCAGAATCTTGAGCGCGTCATTTCCCATGTTGAGTTGCTCGTCTTGAATTTGCCAGGCAGAAATTGCAGCAGAACGACTTGACCGATATACCTCAATCATCTGTAGCGTTAATATATTCCCTAAGCTAGAGGGTATTTCCGCAAGATCATTGCATTTATTCAAGACTAATCTCTCAAGCCTTGGAAAGTGGTCACAGGATGTAACCCATTGTTGAAGATCCATTCGTGAGAGTAGCAAGAATTTGAGTCGACAAAACTCCCCATCACTTGTCTCCCACAGTGGCCCTTTGAAGGCATTACGTCTTAATTTTAGAACCTCGAGATTAGGTAACTTCCCGAGGTCCGAGATTTCCTTCCAAGGTATATTGCCACCTGTTATAGTTAGCTTCTTCAGATTTGGAGGGAATTTGCGTGGTGGGGGAATGCTAGATGGTGGTGCTTCCCAAGCATTATCTACCAACTGGAGTGTTTCAAGGTGTATCAAATTGCCTAGATCAGGGAGGCAAAAACTCTGCCACTGAGATGGACGTTCATAATATGGTGCACCCTGAATTCTACTGACCAGGGTAGGAAGGCTAATGCTCTCTCGAAAACCTGATGCCATCCGTAAAAAGTAGGAAGTCTCAGCCGGACTAGGAAAGGAGGGATTCTCCCCATCGGATGGACCTCTATAGAATGACAACTTTCTAAGA